ATTGAATCTTCAAAGAAATCGTGATTATTCGTGAAAAGAACTGCAATTAAAAATTAACATTTATCGTGATGTGACTTTCTACTCTACAATCTAGTGTCGAGTTACAATTCAAGCAAATTGGATCAGATTTCAACTTATAGACTTGTCACTGAGAAAGCACGCGTGGACGGCGTGGCAATATAATAAAGCAGTACAAGAAAATATATATATCTAGACCGAACAATGTGGTTATTCATTTATTTAATTGTTATGAAAGTATATCTAGATACTCGAACCAAAAGAATTTATTTATTGATGAGATGTGGCATGGAATTGCAACGAAATAGCGAGATCTTTTGATTTCCGAAATATCGCCAAGACCGCGCCAACTGTATCCAGATTGTTGACTATAAAAGCTTATAAAACTTCCTGCATTGGCCCTTGGCATTGCTGAAACTCAACAATCATGGTATATGTTAAAGTCTAGCTGTCTGTTGAAAATCTACAGTATTAAAATCATACATCAAAGATAAGTCAAACGACAATATACTATATTATGTCTTTCAATGGGCACTTTATATTATAGTAATAGTGTTTACAACATTTATAAATTTTATAAACAGCTTTCGTTTTGACACAACTCACAAAGTTTAAATTTTTTGCTTGATATATATCCTTAATAATACAAGTGAGATTTAAATATTTTTCTTTGTGGAATCTAATCCCGTTATTTTTTAATGGACAGCTTGTATCGTCTTTAGCATATCCAGGATTGCTTGTAAATGCATATATCACTATGACACTATCAATTAAATATACAAATATATTTGAGAGCCTTGTTTTTTGGAGCATATTAATGACTAATGAACTAGAAATAAACAGATGATTCACAATGAAAACTTTAAAAATGTTAGTAGAAGTAGAAAACTCGAAAATTTATGTTTATTCGTATGACAGTCTGTGCGCGCGTCTGACACTGTAAATTCACAATATATAGATTTAGTATATTAGGAAAATATTATGATTAATAAAGACCAAGAAAAAGGCTAAAGCCTGACTATAATCACCAAATACTATGTACTAAATCCAAAATTTTATAATCACTGACAGACTTTCTCTGTTTGGCTAGTATCAAATGTTTACATTTGCTAATATTGGGCTCTAGTCCCAGACAATACAATACTGTTTCTTTCAATCTTATAAACAAGACGCGTAGACGTATAGTAACAAGTAATTAAATCGGTGCAAAGCATATAAACATTTACAAGAAAGGACAAATCTAATGGCGTATTTTAAAAACATTACATATGTAGAAATGATGCTGAAAAGCTCATAATAAACGTTTGTTATAAAACCGCGCTCGAGTGTGAAGAGACGGCATTGAATAACAACACGAGAGAGCAATGTGAGTAACGATTTGCTTGGTTTCTTGACTTGACTGTTGGTAAAAATGTAAGAATGTTCTTGTAAATTCAAAGCAAAGAAAATAAACAAAAATTAGCAAGGGAATCATGTAATTTGATACTTTTCCCACACCCCCTCGGGCGCTAAATATTGGACGAGGCACGTGACCAGCCCATACCAGGGTATTTCCTAAATACCCTGGGAACGAGGTTGGGCACCGGTTTGTTCTATAATGCCCTAGTATCTTCTAGGGACAAACCTTTGTCCCTAGAAGATACTAGGGCATTATAGAACTGTGTCTGGTTACATGTAATACTTTCCGTGCATTGTTATATTGTTTGTAAACAACAGTAGCACGTGCAGTCTCGCGACTGCTTGTTTTTTATGTCTGTAGTAAATGATTCAGTTCAGTTTCAAGTGATTTCTGCAATACTTGTAATGAGCTGTACCAAATTAATATGATGGTAGAGCAGAAACAATTCTTCCCATTAATATTTTTGTCGGTGGAAGTTACATTACATTCGGTGATTGGGAAAACACTTAGACTCTTAGTTAAATATTTCCGTGTAATTTAAATTAAAACTTAATCGAGATAAAGCTAAGGAAATACGAAAAATACAACTGGACTTACCTTTATGCTTCAAGAACTATAGCAAACCAATGTAACATAATCAGACAGTTTCAGTTGCAATATTAAACTACAGCGGACAATTAGGGACGGACCATTTGATTTTTGATGGGGGGGTGGGTAGAATCCCCAAAAAAATATCGGGCAAGCAATTCGAACTTTAAAAAAATATCGTGCAAGAATAAACGGACGAAAAAAAATATCGAGCAAGACTTTCGAGTGGTAATCCTTATTTGCCATTCGGTGCATTTCCGCGTGTAGCCCAGGGCCGCGTGTAGCCCTAGCTGGGGGCTGCAAGGTCCAGGAAATGGCATTTCAGAGACTCTAAATTTAAAAATTTCCTCGGGCCTTCGGCCCTCGCTTTCAGCCCCCCAATCAAAAAGAGCTTCCTAAAGCCCTGTAGCCTAAATAATGGGAGGACCAGTATCATTCCAAAAATGGTTGTTCTTTATTAGTTTCTTTACTCCAACTCCTATGATGAACATGTGCGTACTGGTGTAAGTGACAGTGGTGTACGAGTACTGGTGCAATAATTAAAACATGTACATAATTATATAACAAAACCAAAACAGAGATTAGTAAATGAATGATACGACATGACCAATAGATAGCTATAGCTAGTTCTGATGTGGATTTTGCTACGTAGAGGATCAAAGTTCACATTATTTTCCGAACCCCTAAACTCTCCTTTCTAATTCTCCTCTGCAAATTCTATATACCCCCCCCCCCTTTAATAAAACCACGCGGCGTGTAGGGTTGCCTTTCCTACTCAATTTCAATCTCTCACTCTTATATCCTCACCTTTTGTGGAGTCCCATAAAAATTTCACCTACTTTACCTCGTAGTTTCCCTAGTTTTTTTACGTACATGTTCATCATAGGAGTCGGAGTAAAGAAATGGAGAACAACCATTTTTTGAATACTGGTCCTCTCATTATTTAGGCTACACAATGTCTTACATCAGCACTTGTCCAATTACCTATTATATACCAAAATATGTAAAAACAAAAAACTAAAAAATTATGTATATACATGCATACAAAAAAATATCGTGAAGTCCTCTGACTGACAAAAAAAAATCGTCGAACAGTGTCAGGAGGCGGAAAAAAAATATCGAGCAAACTGAAAATCTACCCAGCCCCCCATCAAAAATCAAATGGTCCGTCCCTAATGCAAACCAATATTAAGCACCCAGTAACCTCACAAATAGGCCTCCCTTCGAAAAATCAGTTCTCCCTTCCAAAAATAAGCTCTCCCTGTTAAGGGCTGTTAAAATGGGCCATGCTAGCCCAGCAAACATGGCTGGATTTTCTTTTTAGGGCTAGTTTGTCATTTGCCTCACAGGAGCCAGGCTAACTTGGCAACTGTTGTCAAGAAATTTGTGTGAAATGCTGGTTAATTTGTTAATGACAACAGCTTCAGAAGGCTTATATTAATCAATTTCTTACTTACTTGGGCCAAATTGTGTATTATAACATGATTTTTAGTCGAGTGAGCTGGTTGGCCAGCTTATGACCTTTATTAGTGTGAGACTCCCAATGCAGGATATCAACTTGCTCAAGCAAATGCTGGGCCAATAAATTCAACCAGACTGTTTCATGTGAATGCAATCTCAAACATATATAAAATTAATATATGAGGCAGTATCTTACCATGGGCAGGTGTATATTTAGCCCATATAAATGGGCAAGACCAGCTTGCATGCCCAGTGTGATATTATACTACTGACAATACCTGGTTGATTCTACAAGATTATGGCCTAAAATGTTCCAATTGTAGTTTCAGGATCTGCTAAGGGTCTGTTGATATGATCTGGGCTAGGCAGCATGGGACCCTAAAGGCAAGTTCATGTTGCCTGGTTGTGGGATAGAATGTTTACTGTAAATGGTGAATTTCTTGGCTTGCACAGTTGGGATTCTGGCAACGGATACCTTGTGCTTAGCCAGGATAGTATATCGGCAATACTGGCAAATGTTGTCTCCTGCCTAGCCAGGTCATAAGAACAGGCCCCATTTGTGACTAGTGGGCCAGATTAAGGAAGAAACAATGAGGGTCCTATTGATATCTGAACAAAATTTTGATATCTGTCCCAAAGTCCATCCATCTTCCTTAAGTTTAGGACTCTGAGACCAATGAATATATTGTCATTCAAGGATTAAAAACAGTGAAGAAAAGTGTTATGGTCAAACAAACGAACATATTCATATCCACAGGCTGCAACACGCAATGTTGACACATTATTTTGAAGTCGACTAAATGTCGAAATCGACGAAAAACGAGCCAAAAAACAGTTATTGAGCTAATCAATCAAATAAATACTTGGCCTAAGTTTGAAGGTCCATAGTCCAAATATTTGATGAGCTTCTTTATCCCATTTATACCAACAAAATTTTAAAAATTCCCTGTATTTAGATATTCGCCATATTGATCGCCACGCTGTTTGGCAAGAAATCGACATGTCAACTTGTCCCGGCCCGGAAATGCCCTGTTTACTTGTTACACAGGATATTAATAAGTTAATGTGAAAATATGAAGATAAAAGTATCTTTTAAAAAATAAAACGTCTCAAACCTCGATTTGAAAGGCTTTTAAAAACGCTAATCCGTTCGGAACCTACAAATTCGAGGGGTGGTATTTAAGCCTGCGCAACGCAAAGTTTGAAGACCCATATCTTCGCAATCACGCAATTAATAAAAAATCGCCACGAGGAAGTTGAGGAGAATTCTTTTAAGAACAACATATATGAATTTCATGGAAAAAAAAACAAAAAAACCGCTTGCAGAAAAGCTCTGAAGTAACCCCATATGTTTGTTTACAAATTTCATGTGATGAAGCGTTTTACGCATTCTGATTGGCTTAGGGCAAAAATGTAAACAAAAGCGCTGATTGGTCGAGAACGAAATTCCCCCTTGTTGTAACAGCGCCTTTACTCCGACTTCTATGGTGAACATATACGTAATAAACTATGGAAACTACGATTTATACAGGAACTAAAAAAGGTGAAATATTTTGTGGGATACGATAAAGGCGAGAGATTGAAAATGAGTAGGAAAGGCAACCCTGAATACGTTTCGACCTAACAGTCTTCTTCCGCAGGGTTTTTTAGGGGGTTGTATGCAGAATTCGGCAGTGGAGAAGGAAGAAGAGTCTATATAGGAGTTTGGATAATAATGTGAGACCAAGAGAAAAATAAATTATTACGAAGTTATTGAAAATAGCTAATTACACAGCAACAAAAATGAAAGATGGAGAGATAGTGAAAAATGATATAACTACATAAACTGCTACATGTTATTAGTTAAGTTATCCTACCAAAGGTCTTCGTCCAACACCACATATTTTATTGTTCATCTTCTCAGTTAATTTTGAAGTAGAGCAAATGACAGATCCTTTTTAGAGGTAGCTTACTCAATAGTACAGTGAGTATGAATGATTGTGACAGTAAGGGTGGAGTAGGATTTATATAGTAGTGTGATCATGTGACTGTAGGTGATTACATCCTAACATTGTGAAGAGAGCTTAAATGACAGGAAAGTTTGGTAATAATAAGTGATCCGTAATGGATAAAAATTAATTATTACACCATGCAGGGTTTTATTTTATAAAAAAATATGAGTATACAGTCAGGGACGCCAGAAAGTTGATAATTGGGGGGGGGGGCAGATATTCATATATTCATGTTCTTCATCATTTATTTCCTTTGAAAGAGATTGTTTTTACAGTCTGTGAACACGAATATATGAATATCTGCCCCCAATTATCGACTTTCCGGCATCCCTGTATACAGTAATAACTAAAATATGTACATATATGACAAAGCCAAAACAGTAAAATGAATGAATGATACAATATGGCCAATCATTAGCTATACTTCAGGTGTTAATTTTGCCACCTAGAAGATTCACGTTTATCATTGTACTTTGTTATTTTAGTTATAAAACATGCCGGTCATGCTTGTAGTTACTTGAACAAGAAATCAATGAACCAAAAGATCCCATTTACTTTAATAAAATGATAACTGCCCTACTTTTTTAGGTATTCTTGTTTATTAAAAATGTCATTAATTTAAAAAAATTGCTATGTTTTTTCTTGCATGAATTTACATGACCCCCCTTTTTCCCTTGCATGAAAATTAGTGACCCTCCCCCATTTTGCACCAGCCCCCCCTGTAATTAACGACCGGTCCCTTAGAGGCAGCACTCCCCACTTGACCAGACAAATTAAAATAATAAACTAGGGCACATCAGAGTGCCACTTAAAGGGTTAATGACAATATACAGCTGAGTAGCATGATATTTATTTTACAGCCCATACCTGTAATCATACTACCTCTGCCAGGTCCACGCTCAGGATGATTTAACATATAAGCTGATACATCAACATTTTCTCCCCCTTTGTCAGACCTTACTCTAGAAGGGAGCCCATACTCTGCTACAGCCTCACAAAAACATGTCAGTACTGTGCTAGCTCTGTTGTTGTTAGAGGCCTTTAAGAAAACAGGAAGTCTCGAATAGCCATCTATGCCACCATGCATGAACAACTATTCGCCATCTGTTGACAAAACAAACTTTATAATTTTAAAAGAACATAAATAAAATAGCCATTGCCTGAATTTTTCACTTTTTTCATATTCTTACAATTAAATGTAAGCCCAATTAATTGCTGAAAAGTACTTGTAATAGATACCTGATCAACTTGTGATTTCCATCGATGTGCCACAATGACAATGGGAATCTGACATTATATTTCCGCCCATTTACAGTAATTCTACATCTTTCTGCTAAACCAACTGGATCAGTCCTTAACAATGATTCTCTTACTCTTTTCCACTGAATGCGATACCCTTTTCCTTTCAAATACCCTTTCACCATTCGAATCCCAATTGCTGGATGTTGAGCAGTTGCTTCAGTGACAAGTTGATCTAATTGTCTATCATCGATACTACTGTACATACCTACGAAAAAGATAAAATGCCTTTTACATAACAACTAAATTGTTCTGTAATAATCATAAAAGGTTGCCATAACAAGCACAAATGGTTAATATAGTGAAGTGATATGCCACAACAACAAGTATGAATGACAATTGGCAAAGTAAGCTGGTTTTCCACTTCATTGCATTCTCAATACGTGTTTGGTTCTCTTTTTGTTTCGTAAGGGAATAGTCATGTATGAAATATATAAAATCAATTATTTTTGCTATTACAATCATTGCTATTATTTTTTAATAAGGAAATTTCCTTAGAAAAGACCATCACTGTGGGTGAGGGGTCAGTATTAATGGTATATATTACAGAATCTTTTCAAAAGTTCTTTGAGTCTCTCTTTGTTCTAATCCCCTCCCCCGATGAGGACAGGGCTATGCAAATAATATAGGGGCCTTAAATAAAAGCCATATGGTTTCTAGTAGGTCCCTAGCCCACTTCTTGTAAATACTTAATTTTCTTCTTTAACCCATTAGGCAGCAATGTGCCCAAATGCACCCTACTTTATTCTTTTACTCTGTCTAACACCTGACGATTTTATTCGTCAAGGGGAGAGTCTTACACTCTAATGGATTAACCAAACAATCTGCCATTGTGTCTTGTTAACCCATTCCCATGGTAGAATGCAGGACTGTCTCCTTGGCAAGTAAAATCATCTGGCATTAGACAGAGTAAAAGAATAAAGTAGGGTGCATTGCTGCTTGATGGATTAAGCAGCAATGTGCCCAAATGCGCCCTATTGTATTCTTTTAGTCTGTCTAATGCCAGGCGATTTTACTCATCAATGGGAGAGTCTTGCATTCTAATGGTTAATGTACTTTTTTTGGCAAATAAACTTATATAAATTATAAATTACAATGTCTCATAAGACACTTTATGTGTCTATAAGCCCTGCTCATCCACCTTGCATCCCCTCCCCATAGATTTGTCTCCTCTGCCAAACCTCCCCCCCCCCCATCTGCAAAACTTTAAAACAGGTTTGTTGTCTGTTGCAATGGCCATCGCTAAGCACTTTAGGCAGGTTGTGTTTATGACATTTGCTGACAAATGGAGGGAGGTAAAAAAAATTTACATAAACAAAGCTTAAAATTTTTTCCCGACTAACATAACCAAAGCTTAAAAAATTTTTAGAAACATATGCAAACCTTTTAAATTTCTAAAATTGAAACAATAGCAGTCAAACAATTTTGTGAACAAAAAATTCATTTGATGACAACGGCAGTTTTCCAGGGCGTGCCCTGACTTATGCAATTGTTATATATGTTATTGTTTTATATTGTACAATACGAAAGAGATAATATCTATACTGTGTACAGTTGTTTACCTGATACAGTTAGCCCGAACGATGACATTCTCCTCTCCACAGTGCGGACACTTACTCCTAGAATACTTCCTATGTCTCTCACATTAAATCCTTGTTCTAAAAGGTAAGACAGTTGTTCTTCTCCGATTTCAAATGATGGTCTTCCTCGTTGCCCAGTCGTGTCTGTAGACGCTCTGTAACCTGAAATCGTTTCGTTGTTATCGATCTCAACCAACGTTCTGTAGGCTAACGATATCATTTCTATTACAAAATCATCTATTGCAAGATTAACTACAAGCCTGTGTAAGTAATCCAGTCTTAAGATAACTGGCTGGAAGTCTGTAGAGGAACTATCTAAATCTACATAGCGGTTTAAGGTAGTTAATACATCATTTATGGCGGTGACCACATACTCTCGATCTGCCATTTTGAAACCGCGCGAATTCCTTATTCTGTGGCGCGAATGGCACGAACCATCGTTTGAGCCCACGATCACTCATGCCTCGTGGATTGTGGTTGGATGCACAATTGAGAAACTTGAATAAAATGCAAACTTGAATGTAAAATGCAAACTGTCGAATAAAATGAGAACTATGAATGTAGAATACAAACTTGAATGTCGAATGCAAAAAGTTTAATGAATAAAATGCAAACTTGAATGTAAAATGCGAACTGTCGAATAAAATGAGAACTTATGAATGTAGAATACAAACTTGAATGTCGAATGCAAAAAGTTTAATGAATAAAATGCAAACTTGAATGTAAAATGCGAACTGTCGAATAAAATGAGAACTTATGAATGTAGAATACAAACTTGAATGTCGAATGCAAAAAGTTTAATGAATAAAATGCAAACTTGAATGTAAAATGCGAACTGTCGAATAAAATGAGAACTTATGAATGTAGAATACAAACTTGAATGTCGAATGCAAAAAGTTTAATGAATAAAATGCAAACTTGAATGTAAAATGCGAACTGTCGAATAAAATGAGAACTTATGAATGTAGAATACAAACTTGAATGTCGAATGCAAAAAGTTTAATGAATAAAATGCAAACTTGAATGTAAAATGCGAACTGTCGAATAAAATGAGAACTTATGAATGTAGAATACTGAATAAAATGCAAACTTGAATGTAAAATGCGAACTGTCGAATAAAATGAGAACTTATGAATGTAGAATACAAACTTGAATGTCGAATGCAAAAAGTTTAATGAATAAAATGCAAACTTGAATGTAAAATGCGAACTGTCGAATAAAATGAGAACTTATGAATGTAGAATACAAACTTGAATGTCGAATGCAAAAAGTTTAATGAACGAAATGCAAACTTGAATGGAGAATACAAAAAGTCCAAAGAAATGAAAGATGTTCAACATAAAATAACAAAGTTGAATTTTGGCGGACATTTGACGCCATACTTATTTTGTTTCATAAATAGTTCTTTAATATTCGAAACAAATTCCATATCTGCTTCGTCTGCCATAGCCATGTTTACTCGTCCCAATGTACATGCTGCACGGCATTGCCGCCCCTCCTGGCAAAATAATAAGCAAGCGAGAAAAATTAAGGAGAAAATAAGAGGGTAGGAACATTGTGGGCGTTTCGTGGGCGTGTCATCGTTCTGGGCGAATCGGCTTTCGCAATCTTGTATCACATGACTAATTCAAATCGTCATAGGCGGGAAGCAGCATTACGTCATCCCTACGTCAAATAAAACGTTATAAAACGCGTCGAGGATACGTTTGTGCCATATATGGATGTTATGGATACGTTTGTGCCATATATGGAAGTGTCACTGCATCCAGCTTATGACAACGATGTTCCTACCCTCTTATTTTCTCCTTAATTTTTCTCGCTTGCTTATTATTTTGCCAGGAGGGGCGGCAATGCCGTGCAGCACGTAGATTGGGACGAGTAAACATGGCGATGGCAGACGAAGCAGATATGGAATTTGTTTCGAATATTAAAGAACTATTTATGAAACAAAATAATCTTTTAAACATAATTATAATACATGAGTAAGTAAATGATCTTTTAAACATAATTATAATACATGAGCAAGTACAAAACCATTTCTAACTTTCTATTTAACAACACTACACCTGTCCTATTGCCCGTGGTTATTCAACATTGACATTGTCTTATTATAGCCGAAACGATATTTAAAAACATTGACATTGTCTTTATCCCCGGGCCGACGGCGCGAAGCGCCGTGCGAGGGTACTAATTCCCCCCGGCTATATACACCCGGGGTTTAAAGTTCACCAATGATCGCGGGCGTGGCTCACTGTGCGTGGGTGGTCATGCTCACTGATCTCAAAAATATGGCGGACTGTCATGAATAACGAACACTGTGGTTGGTCCAATTTAATATAACGAGTGCATGACGACAGTGATATAGCAAACATTTCTTGATTTGATGATTGATAAACTTCTTGATTTGATGATTGATAAACAAAGATTTTGGCGAAAGAATCGGCTACAAGAAGGGAGCCGACGTTAACGAAGGTAAATTTGTTTTAAATATTGATTTTATAATTGCCGACGGCCTTTGCGTATATGAAACAACTAAACAAGACAGCATATAATTTTATTATATTGAATTTTTTAAATAAAAAAGAAAGCAAAGTTAATTGCATGCGAGAATTTGAAATCATTTTATTGCAAACTCAAAGTTTATTGATAAAGCCATTTAATTAAAGGCAACTTAGTTTTATAAAGAACACTTTAAAACGTTTTGCGAAGCGTTTGTGGTTGAATTTTACCTTAAATTGAAGCTTATATTACGTATAATATCATACCTAACATATATATGTTGGGAAATTGATAATTTTGTAATTAAAAGTGATATTTTTAGGCGATTATTCATTTGTAAGAATATTCTTAAAAAGTTATCGTGTTGCCATGACAACTACTCTAGATACTCCATGTTCGGAAAATACAATGGTTTTGTCAGCACGGCGAGAGTTTGTGCATGCATATATTTTCTAGTAGCTTACTATGTTAATCAAAGCGCGTTTTTAATACATGTTTATTTTCCTGTTTATGACTGACTTGTTTATTACTAACAGAAAAGATCATCCATGTATTAGCCGCCCCCCCCCCCCACCGTATATAAGCCCCGCCTTGTACAAGCCCATCAAAATCGCTTACGAAAGTATATATAAGCCCAGGGCTTATAGTCGGAGGTTTATAAACGGTAATACTAACATCATCGCTCAGTCAAAAATTCCACGGATCGACATACCATAATTAGCAGTCCATCCGTGACCAATGGTACGGATCGACAACATTTTTCAGGCCACCTTTAGCCACACACAAGGTTTAACCGCAGATTTACGGATGGATATATCATATTTACCGATCGGGAATTCGCAGTCCACTCGTTACCAATGGTACGGATCGACAACATTTTTGAGGCCTCCCTTATGGCGCAATTCCAGTCTTCACACGAAGCTCCTCGCAGCGAGCTGCGAGTGCATGCATGAGCACTTTCATCCAATCACAATGCTTAGGAGTTGATTTTAATTAGATGCAACCACTCGCAGCAAACTGCAAGGAGCTTCGTGCGAGGACTGGAATTACGCCTTTAGGCAGACACATGCAAGCTTTAGGAGCATGCAGATTTACGAATCAACATATCATATTTTCCGATCGTGAATTCGCAGTCCACCCGTTACCAATGGTACGGATCGACAACATTTTTGAGGCCTCCCTTAGGCAGACACATGCAAGTTTTAGGAGCAGGTTTACGAATCAACATATCATATTTTCCGATCGTGAATTCGCAGTCCATCCGTTACCAATGGTACGGATCGACAACATTTCGAGGCCTCCCTTAGGCAGACACAAGCTTTACCAGAAAATTTACAAATGGACATATCATATTTTCCGATGGTGAATTAGAAGTTCATTCGTTACCAATGGTACGGATCGACTTTCAGTCCTTATACCAATCGTTATTACAAAACCACTCTTCAATCCGTAGCCAAAATTTCACGAAACAAACGATCCGTATGCATGCAACAGTATTGGACAACCATTAGATGCCTAGGGTGGGTTAGGGTGGGTAATACTGGGTGGGTAATACTGGGTGGGTGGGAGTGGCGTGAGGTTATCAATGTGTCTGCATGAAGATATACATCATACATAAAGTGCACATGCATGATCACAGATTCAAAGATGACCGTATGATGATATACGGGGGGCAGGAAGGGAGCAAATTGCCCCAGGGCAGCAGGTTCTGGGGGACCTTAGAAATTTTTTGTTGGGCCCCAGTCATTTTTTTGGGTGAAATATGGGCAAGATATTTGTTTTTTTGGTGCAAAGTACGGAAATTTGGTATGAAAAGTTGAGGTAAAGTCGCTGGAAAGCAATTACAACGTACTCGTCCGGAAAATATTTTCCCTAAAAAGTTAGTTACCATCCCAAATTGAAGTAAAATCTGGTGTAAAATAATCATAATTAACGAAATGTATGAGTTGCCCCAAGTCTATATTAACAAAATTATAAAAAAATAGTACAAGTATATGAAATATCAATATGAGATATCAATAAAATGTCAAGAAAACCATAACAATTACATCTACAGTACATATTCCAACAGGTAAATCCCCCCAAATGTTAAATGACATTCTATATTGACCAAAATCGTCGACAAAACTGTAAACGATTCCTTAATGATATTTTTACGCAATCCTGACTTAAATTGCAGGTTACGGGATTTATCTGCATGTTTTCTGGAAAGAGTGTACATATTTCAGAAAATAAAATCCAACTTGCCAAAATATTTTATAAGTATATACCATGCAAATGTCAAAGTTCATGTTTTCTTGGAATTTATTGGAAAAGAGCAAATTACGTGAAAGTCACGAAATTCATTGGCACGAAATTCATTCGCATTCACTGGCGTAAGTACTGAGCGACATGGCCGGCGCCATGTACAAAAAGAATCGAGAATTTAAGCCTAAACAAATTGGCTCTTGTGTCAGTGGTTTCCTTTGTGTCTCTTCAACGTATGTTGCTGTGTAAATGTCTTATCACAATGTCGATATTGATATGGACGTTCTCCACTATGTATTCTTTCGTGTGTCTTCAAGCTAATTTGATCGGCGAATGTCTTATTACAATGTCGACATTGATATGGACGTTCTCCACTATGTATTCTCTCGTGCCGCTTCCAGCTACCTTGATCTACGAATGTCTTATCACAATGTCGACATTGATATGAACGTTCTCCACTATGTATTCTTTCGTGTCTCTTCATGTCACCTTGCTGTGTAAATGTCTTATCACAATGTCGACATTGATATGGACGTTCTCCACTATGTATTCTTTCGTGCCGCTTCCAGCTAATTTGATCGGCGAATGTCTTATCACAATGTCGACATTGATATGGACGTTCTCCACTATGTATTCTTTCGTGTATCTTCATTGGACCTTGCCGTGTAAATGTCTTATCACAATGTCGACATTGATATGGACGTTCTCCACTATGTATTCTTTCGTGCCGCTTCCAGCTACCTTGATCTGCGAATGTCTTATCACAATGTCGACATTGATATGGACGTTCTCCACTATGTATTCTTTCGTGCCGCTTCCAGCTACCTTGATCTGCGAATGTCTTATCACAATGTCGACATTGATATGGACGTTCTCCACTATGTATTCTTTCGTGTACCTTCATTGGACCTTGCTGTGTAAATGTCCTATCACAATGTCGACATTGATATGGACGTTCTCCACTATGTATTCTTTCGTGCTGCTTCCGGTTACTTTGATCGGCGAATGTCTTATCACAATGTCGACATTGATATGGACGTTCTCCACTATGTATTCTTTCGTGTCTCTTCATGTCACCTTGCTGTGTAAATGTCTTATCACAATGTCGACATTGATATGGACGTTCTCCACTATGTATTCTTTCGTGCCGCTTCCAGCTACCTTGATCTGCGAATGTCTTATCACAATGTCGACATTGATATGGACGTTCTCCACTATGTAATCTTTCGTGCCGCTTCCAGCTACCTTGATCTGCGAATGTCTTATCACAATGTCGACATTGATATGGACGTTCTCCACTATGTATTCTTTCGTGTACCTTCATTGGACCTTGCTGTGTAAATGTCCTATCACAATGTCGACATTGATATGGACGTTCTCCACTATGTATTCTTTCGTGCTGCTTCCGGTTACTTTGATCTGCGAATGTCTTATCACAATGTCGACATTGATATGGACGTTCTCCACTATGTATTCTTTCGTGTCTCTTCATGTCACCTTGCTGTGTAAATGTCTTATCACAATGTCGACATTGATATGGACGTTCTCCAGTATGTGTTCTTTTATGTTTCGTAAAATAGTTTTGCCTTGTAAATATTTTACCACAATGTTGACATTGTTTAATTTTCACACTGATGTTGATGCGACGTTTTGAAGATTCGGGATTCCCACAATCCTTCTCGTGTACATTACGATAATCTTTACTACTGTACTTTCTCCCGCAACGAGAACATTCCCAGGATTCGTAAGATACCAACATTGGACATCTTTTCAAATGACGTTCCAGGTAGTTCATTTCAGTATATATTCGTCCACAATGTTTACAGGTGTGACCACCTTCAACAAAAAGAAAATATATATTTATTTTTTTTCTTGCGGTCCGAAGTCATATTTTACGCTTTTCTGCAATCTGATTGGCTACGTGAGCGGTCCGTATGAGCCCGTACGGACCGCGCGAGATTTAAAGCCGTAGAGCCAATGTTTTTATTTTTCAAAATTTAAAGACGAGTTTAAAGGCTACTTTTTAAAACATTAAAATGTCTGCAGACGATGAAAAACACAGTGAAAACGAATTTTACTATCTCACAAAAGATATTTCTCTTCCCGATAGCATTGATAGAAACGACGTTTTATTTGGCAGCTTCATTCGCGTGCGGGAGGAGTGATTGGGGAAATCCAGAGGAGGAATTAAAAAAAAAAATTATTTACCGGTATGGTCGGTCCGTATAGAGAAATATTTCTCTCGGTCTTAAAAACGTCCCTCGTATATATATATATAGTGGTAGTAAGTGCCTGGTAAAGATTCGCCTTGTATATAGCAGGCGTTTATTTACAGGCGGCGCGGGTGGCGTCGAGAAAAATGAACGCTAGCGCTGCCGTAATGACATTGTGAAAAGCGTTTTTGGTTGCCAAAATTTCGGTTAAATTCCCATTGGTGAAGTTTCTTGCCGGAAATGATTAGGCAACACAAGCTGTGCTAGTGTTTCTAAAAACATTCTGTTTCTTCAAAGTAGCTGAAAATGTGGGTCAAGTAATAGTTCAAATGCGAGCAAGTGTTCCTCTTTGATTTCTAAATACAAACAAGCAGGTTGTAAATACGAGGCGAAGCCGAGTTTTTTAACCAGCTTTTCTGTATTTAGAAATCAGAGGAAGAACACTTACGAGTGTTTGAACTTACACAACACACGAACCCGTATTTTAAGAGGCAATCGAGATTAAAGTTGGCGAAATTCGGCTGTAATCTTCCTCCGATTTCTAAATATTAAATCTTTTGAATTTTCTTCATGAATTATTAATGAGCTTGGGAAGGCTATTTCAGATACATCCTCGGTCCTAGGGCTTCACGGCTGACACAGCGTTTCCGAAGGCCCTGGCGAAAACCAAAACGAGAAGTGATTTGATTGGTCGCATGAAAGCAATGGAATGCGGAAACTGAACACGAACTTGTACTAATAAATATGGCTGACTATAAGGAGTACATAGGAGTGTATTAACTCTTCAAAGAAGGCGAAGAATCGTTTTGGTCATCGAAATCTGCTGTCTATCAATGGAAATTTTATTTTTAATTGCTGCCGAAGGCAGCACTCCTAATCTTGACCAATCTCGTACCCAGAGCCAGTCTTTCGCGCCGATCTATGCATTGTCGAGATCTCGATCTTGTGTCTATCCGGTAAGATGTCGTATTTCCGGGGGGGACGTACGGGGGGAGTGCGAGAAAATAATTGCAAACTTTTTATTCTGGAATCTGGATCTGACTTGATGCAAAATATCCGAACATTTCCCGAAGAAACCAGGTAAGTATGGCTTTATTTCTTTGTGCTAATATCCATCAAGGCGATGAACTGTTTAGCGTTCATTCTAGAGGCAAGCAATGTGCTTTTATGTCATGAGTTTACGGCGCTTCTTACAGCCCGAAATATTCCCATTGTCCGCATGGTCGTTTAGAACATTTGATAATGTCTTATAAATACAAGGAGACAAGGTGTACTTCAGAGCTCTGAAGTATTTCAGGAATTTACCGGCAGTGTATAATAGCCCACCAGATCTATTCGTGAATAATGCCTTATTTACGAGTCACAATGTACTCAGTTTTAATATTTTTTTGTTATGTGCCAAGACGATGAGTATAGTGTTCATTTCTAGATGCTTATAGTTTAACAACAAACGCGGAATGTTGTTAAATCAGGCTTACTGTGATAAGATCCCTAGAGCAATCCAGTGTCGGATTGTTGTCTGCACATATTGACTTTATACCAGCAATATGATATAATATATTCATCTGGCTGTGTCACTACATTTCAAAGTGTATTATATTTTTCGATAATGCTCACAATTAGAAATGTTGACAAATAGATATTGTGTCCCCATCAGCATATTGTTCGGTTGTTCTGTGATATGGGCAGCCTTGAAGGTGGCGTTAAAACAATAATTGGAACAAACCCCGACTTAGTATTTTTATATAAACATTGTACAGTATTCAGTGGCAAGCTACAATCCTGGCAAAAACTAATGAAACATCCAGTTTGATTAACAGTTTAATTTATTCTTTCCCCCCTTTTAATGTTGATTAAGATGATCAAGATACCTATACATAGTGCTCTCTGCCATCGATGAACTATTGTACACAATTGTTTTGAATCTATGTCCAACATTGTGCAGGGGAAGATTTTGTCTGTTTTATTGATTTTTTATAGGTGTTTCATTAACTTTTTGCCAAGATTGTAGCCATGGCAACTGGCCATATGCATGCTATACTGATAAACTTGCATCTATTTGAATAATGCAAATCATTAAAAGCTTGCATAGCATGACCTGTTGCTATAGCTAGCTTCACCACTGACAGTATTATAATTATACAACAGCAAGACATTATAAGCATATAAAACTGCCCATGCCAAGAAAGTAGAATTACAACTTTCAGCTGCCCTTCGACTTTGTGCAAGATGTTTGATATTCAAGTTGCACAATGCACTTTTCCTACCTCCTGAACAGCCATCTTAAAGGCTTTTTGCATGATGGGAGAAGGGATGATTTTGATGTCTTAAAATATTAGTCACTAGGCTAAACGAAAGTTAAAACGCTCAAATGTAGAGATAAAGTTCAAATGTAGAGAAGATCTCCTTGTGGTTCAATATTATGCTTGAACATGCAACCTTCGTAATCCATCTCTAGAAAATAGTGAAATTTTTTGCTGAATCATGCATCCTGACTTATTAGCCGTTTTCACATTAGAAGACGGACAAGTCGTCTAGACGAACGAATCGTCTCAAAATCGTCTTTTAGTCGAACAAATCATCAGATGTGAAAACGTGTCGGACAAAATTTTAGAGGAACAAGTCGTCTGAATTTGTTCGACTACTTGTCCGTCTGTGATGACGATTTTTGAGAGACGATTTGTTCGTCTAGACGACTTGTCCGTCTCTAATGTGAATAGGGCTATTTAAGCACGTATCAAAATCATCCTGCCTCATATCTCCTGGCAAAGCGGGATCATATAAACAGCCCCTTATTCAGCAAATTGTGCATGCTGCCTTTAATCCCTTGCGGGTGAGGCAGCATTTTCCTTGCGATAGTAACTTCTAGTATAATATATTGGATGTTGTGTCACAATGTGTTAAAAAGCTGCACAGATTTGGGCATTGGATTATTTAAAGATTGAAATCGCCAAAGGATCAAAGGGACATTTTATACGAGACTTTATGATAATTTTTACGAGTACAAATTATTGTTAGTGAACGATACTCAATGCGCTAGACCTAAAAATTATAGATTTAAGATGTCTATGTTGAGCTAACCCGAAAGCTACTGTTGTTTAAACAAAGGAGACTCTATCACAGACTTTCATTATTTGCTTGCCAAACCCGTAGGCTACTGCAACCAGTATCGTTTATTAATTATTGTCCAAATCACTATGTTTGACCTATTCATAACTATAACAATGAAACTATAGTTAAAGTACCTATACGACAATTTTTTTATGATTGAATTGCAAAGTTCATTTAAAATCATAACATAACTTGTTATCTAAAACTTTATAATCTTTCCTGTAAATCAAGATTTTCGACTTTGTTTGACATACAAATCTGACTTAAATGACGTCACACTGCATAATGATTTTTAGAAAGAAAACGTTTCCTTGCCAAACATGTGATAATTCCACTGACATTGAAAGTGACATACCTTAAGAGCTATCAATGCGATCATTTCGTCTGTAAATTTGAGATAATGAGAATTTTAACAAGCTACAACACAGTCTTCTGTAAAACGCATTATGCAGTGTGACGTCATTTAAGTCACATTTGTATATCAAACAATGTCGAAAATCTTGACATACAGGAAAGATTACAAAGTTTTAGAAAACAAGTTATATTGTGATTTTAAATGAACTTTGCAATCCTTCATAAAAAAAATTGTCGCATAGGCACATTAAACATGGGCAGATATCCGAGTTAGCTTTATCTGCCTATATCATTCTTACTTGGCTTGCGAGCTGTAAAGACTAAGAGTCACACAGCAATCACCTCTTGCTCCAGCCTTTTCGCTGATGTAACGAGATGGTAATTGGAAGTAATTACGCTATGTTACGGCTTATGCGAGTGTTATGCGAGTGTTATGTTATTTGAAAGATCCGCAGTAATTGGCTGTAGCTGTTGCGGAAATCCTGCCTTGTTTATATATATATATATATATATATATATATATATATATATATATATATATATATATATATATATATATATATATATATATATATATATATAGTAATTTGATGCTTCTTCTTAATATTGTTACCAAGGCAAAGTTAGATAAATTAAATCTTTGGACAAATCTTTGGCCGCTCCGCACAGTCATACCACAACGGCTATGCCCGCCTATGGAGTGATATTGAATTCTCGGGAACATTGAACTATATTCAGAACTATATATAAATATTATCTTCGTTGGATATTAAAAGCTTATCAACATTCACTAGACTGTTATATCAATGTTATTATGTATTTAATAAAATACTAAATAAAGAATGTAGTGTTTGAGGCAATTGCTCTAGTATGAGGTCGCAATTTTATCCTAGACCTCACGTTTTATATTTATATATATATATATATATATATATATATATATATATATATATATATATATATATATATATATATATATATATATATATATATATATATGTATGTTGTATGTATATATATATATATATATATATATATATATATATATAATATATATATATATATATATATATATGTTTATATATATATGTTTATATATATATATATATATATATAT